CGAGGGGAGGCCGGTGGCGGCGGCTATGGCGAACGGCGGCGACGGTGCGTTCGGACACGGGAGAAAGAGAGCGAGGGAGAGGAGAGGAAGAACCGGGGGAGAGTGAGAGAGTACGGGGGGGCGTGGCGTCGTTCCAGGCCATCCAGACGAGGAGGGGAGGGGCAGGCAGGCAGGCGAGCTGGTGGCGTGGCGCGGTGGCGCGCGCGAGCGCCGGGCACACTCCCCTCCCTCTGTCGAGGACGAAGACGACAGAGGAGGGAGGCGGGCTGGGCCGCCTGCTGGTTGGGCCGGCCAGCTGCTGCTGGGCTGCACAGGGAGGAGCCCCAGGTAAGCTTCTCCTTTTATTTATTTCTGTTTTCTAATTTCTGACATTTGTTTTGATTTAAATAAAATATTAAATCATTTTATTATCTTATGCCAATTTTTGCAGGAGCTAGATATATTATTCCAGAGCTCCCCAACAGGTGGCATAATTTTTGGACATATATTAATATATATAACTAATATATTTCCAATGCAAATATTTATGCATTAATTCCAAATGCCCAAAATAAATACCTATGAGCTCTTAAAAATATTGGTTTGATTTTTATCTCTGTCCAATATTTTCAGAGAGCAACATGAGCATTTTCTTGGACCCTTTTGGAGAAATTTTTATTTGGGTCATTTTCAAAAATGATTCTGAGGGTTTCACAAATCTCCATTTCAAGTTTCTGATGAAAGAGTAAACATGATGCAACACTCTAATGCATGACTAGCTAGGGTGTGACACATCCAGACTAATTGCGAGTTGCGAACTTGCGATAAAGATCGATCGTATAACAAACCATCCTCAATTCTTTGCACGAGAAGGTAAAAGAAGACAGAAATGTAGTTCATGTAAACAAGCTCTTGGTGATGACAAGAGAAACACATTCATAGATTATCTCCTCAGCAGCTGGACCGAATTAATCCCTCTGTCCCATGATATAAGAATGTGTCAAAAACATTCTTATATTATCAGACGGAAGGAGTAGCTGTGAAGCCATATAAGCATGCATACACGCACCTTTCAAAGTAGTAAGCGCCGGGAGCGAGGAACACGCCGGCGATGAGATTACGGTAGGCAATGAGCACGTAGGGGCTCATGCCGGTGTCCAAGGCCAGCTTGGACAGCACGTTCATACCGGCAAAGCCTAGCTGCACTAGCACCATGGCGACGGTAGGAAGGCACTCCTTCCCCATAGCTGCAGATTATTAGAGATCGATCCCAACTTAATCAGCCTCCTCTTCTCTCTCAATTCCTGATACTAATACAAGCTACCTAGCTAGCTGGCTAGACTGCAGGAATATTATGCTACGAAGGATTGAATGGAATGGGATGTTCGTGTGTATATATAGGTAGCGAAGAGAGAGAGAGAGAGATCCAAGGTGGTGATGACTTGCTGCAGTGAAACGTGGCAATAACAGAAAGGCTACTCCAGAAGCAAAAGCTTCAGCGACAAGGCATACACTTAATGGAGGCAAGCAGACACACAACTTGCCAAGCTTGGAGACAGCTGAATGTGACGGGGAGGGTCGTCGGTACGATCCTGGCGTGCTGTATTCTTGACTCTGCAGTTAAATTTGTGAACTCATGGCTGGTTTGCTGTTTAATTTTGCACTCTAACGACCGAGATGAAGATATATTTTGTTCACTAAAATAAAAACACTCATTCACTAAAAAAAGGAAAATATATTTTGTTGTCCGTTCTTTTCCGTGTTACAAGGATTCTTGTTTAGGCGGTTCCTTGCTTGGCTCTCCAACCGTGCCCGCGTCCATACATATGCGCGCGTATGATGCGTCAGAGTTCATGTGTGGTTCTAATTGGCCATTATCGTTCGTCAGAGTTGTGAGATGCTTGGCATGTCGAGACGAACTGAAACTGTTTCAAAAAGTGCATGCCACAACCGCATTCGCAAAAATCCAACACAAAACGCGGTAAGCTTACTTGCCCGTTATCATTACATTAGACCACGTGTCCGTCCATCCTAAACAAAATAATAATATTAAAAAAAATTAGACAATAAAAACATTTGATTAAAAATTGAACAACTCAATTTACATATAAGTGGTGCAACATAATTGTCAACCATTAATTAGAATCAGTCCACTAATCACAAAATCCTTTCGTGTTCATGTTTTCTGTCAGCGCACGACCTGCCTTGACGACCACGACCAAGGGGGCTGCCATGGCAGCGAGCCACGTCACCAATGACGGCCTGGTGACAAGGAGAATCAACAGCAGGCCCAAGAGGATAGTGCAGCCCAACAGGAGATTCATGGGGCCGGAATGGGACCGCTGAGCCCAGGTCGCCCCGACGACTACTTATTCCCTCACACGCAAAGGGAGAGGCATCCGGAAGGATCAGAACGAACGGCGGCTCTCTTCTCCTTTGTTTTCCCCACCTACCTTCCTTCTTCCCCAAGAACAGCGAGAAGCTGGTTGTAATTCGAATTCGAGCCTTGTGTCTGTAATAGATCGACCTGGTACCTAACATCCTGGTATCTGAGACCTCACACCACCAGATCCGCTGCAATCCATCCTGGAAACCCGTCACCGCATCCACGCGTGACAGGTCCTTCTCGCCGCCATGGATCCGACACTCAAGGAATATCTCGACAAGCTACACCAACATGCAAAGAACGACTCCGCCACCGTCCTCAAGCAGCTCCAAGCGCAGACGTCCCAGATCGACGATCTGCTTCGCTGGAAGCCCGATCTAGAGGCCCGCTTCACCAAGCTGGAAACCACAGTCACCTCGCTCCAAGCGGCCACGCCGCACTCGTCGAGTGGAGCGGCGCCCCTACTTCCAACTCCGCCGCCGCCCTCCGCCGTGTGAGGAAGCCTCCACGGGCCCAGTGGCCACGTCGATGTCGATCTTACCGGGGGGCAACCACCGGTGACCTTAGAGTTACTGGGGGTACTCCCGGTCACGGGTACGCCTTCCCTTCCGCTCGTTCCCTCTTATCCACCTCCCCCATCGTCCTCTGTTCTCGCCACCATGGACAGCCACCACCGCCCGTGAATTTCCCCCTATTCACCAGCGAGAACCCACAACTCTGGAAAACTCTCTGTGAGCGGTATTTCCAGATGTTTTCAATCCCCGACTCCTATCGCGTACCAATGGCAACTCTCAATTTCTCTGGTTCGGCAGGAATCTGGCTGCAGTCCGTACAGAAAAATTAGTTAGCCTGGACTGGGAGGCCTTTGCCTCTCTTCTCTATACTCGTTTCGGGCGTGATAAGCACCAGATGCTTATTCGTCAGTTCTATGCCATTAAACAAACCACCTCTGTTGCTGATTTCATCGAGCGATTTGAATCTCTGATGAATCACCTGATTTCATACTCGGAATCTACTCACCCTTATATTTTTCCTGACACGTTTTGTCGAGGGACTGCGACCGGACATCCGTGTTGTGGTGCTCGTACAGCGCCCACCAGACCTGGACACGGCGTGCTCGCTGGCCCTACTTCAGGAGGAAGTGGCCGATGGCGAGTCATGCTATGGGCGTCTTTCGTATGTAAGCCGCGGCCAAGGCCAAGCTTCCAGGACGGTGTCACCACCATTCTTTGGGCGACCTACCACGCCTACAGCCAATTCTGAAGATAGGCGCGGTACTGACGCCGCCCGAGCTACATCTGAAGTCAGCAAGGTGGCCGCACTCCGCGCATTCTGGCACGCGAAGGGACTTTGTTTCAAGTGCGGCGAGAAATGGGGCAAAGACCATGTGTGTCCGCCTACGGTTCAGATGCACATTGTAGATGAACTACTCGCTATGTTCAGTATGGAAGAAGCTACGTCAGAATCGCCACCAGACTCACCGATCTCTGACGAAGAAAATTTGTGCACACTGTCCCGGCAAGCTGAAGATGGTACATCAGCCCCAGGTGTTCTGCAGCTCCAGGCCTGGGTGCAAGGGCATGAAGTTCTGCTCCTGGTTGATTCCGGCAGTTCCACCTCTTTTGTGGACAGTTCTTTCACCTCCAAGCTCTCTGGTATCACTCTGTTGGCACGGCCGTGTCGTGTGCGCGTTGCCGATGGCGCCACTATCCCCTGCACCCACTATATCACTGACTGCTCCTGGATTGCGCATGAGCACGAGTTCAAGACTGATTTCAAGGTTATCAAGCTCGGTTCATACGACGCAATATTGGGGATTGATTGGTTACGCAAGCACAGCCCTATGAACATTTACTGGATCGAGCAGCACCTGGCAGTCACAACACCAAGTGGGCAACTGAAAATGTCAGCGGTTTCATCTGATCAGACACAATGTTCTTTGATCTCTGCCCCTGAACTGCTCAAAGCTTGCAAGCAAGGCTCTGTCGCTCATGTTATTCACCTCAATTCTCTGGATGGGAGCAGCGCAACCGACACACCAATCCCAACTGAGGTCCTGCGCCTGCTAGAACAATTCACGAATGTTTTTGAAGATCTGCGCAGCCTTCCACCACGTCGCGAGTGCGATCACAGGATCCCTCTGATGGCAGGCACTCAACCAGTCAATTTGCGCCCATACAGATACAAACCGGAACTCAAAACAGAGATTGAGTGACAAGTTCAGGAACTGCTAGACGCCGGTGTGATCCAGAAAAGCTCAAGTCCTTTTTCCTCACCAGCCTTGCTCGTCAAGAAAAAAGACGGCTCCTAGCGCCTTTGCGTGGATTACATACGCCTCAATTCCATGACAGTAGTCAGCAAGTACCCAGTGCCTATGATTGATGAGCTCTTGGACGAGCTTGCCGGCGCCAAGTGGTTCTCTAAACTTGATCTGCGCGCCGGTTTCCATCAGATACGCATGGCAGAGGGAGAAGAATACAAGACGGCTTTCCAGACTCACTCAGGGCATTGGGAATTTCATGTCATGCCGTTTGGTGTTGCCGGAGGACCGTCGACCTTCAATGGTGCCATCAACACCACTCTCCGTCCGGTGAACCGTGTCTGTGTCATCTCATTCTTTGATGACATCCTCATATTCAGCAAGACTTTGACAGATCACATACAACACCTCGGACAAGTTCTGCAACTACTCCGAGACGATCACTGGCAAGTTAAGCAGTCCAAGTGTTCATTTGCACAGAACAAGATTGCATACCTCGGCCATGTCATCAATGAGCACGGTGTTTCTACCGATCCCGGCAAAATTCTGACAGTTCAGGAGTGGCCGACACCCACCTGCGTTAAGGAGGTGCGCGACTTTCTCGGCCTCGCTGGCTATTATCGCAAGTTCGTCCAACATTTTGGAATCATTGCCCGGCCGCTTTTCAACCTCCTCAAAAACCACCAGCAGTTTGTTTGGACAAGTGACACACATCAAGCTTTTGATACTCTAAAACTGAAACTAGTCTCAGCACCAGTCTTGCAATTGCCTGATTTCACCAAGAAATTCACCATTGACACAGACGCGTGTGCCTACGGAGTGGGAGCAGTTCTCCAACAAGAAGGGCATCCCATTGCTTACATAAGCAAGCCCCTGGGCCCCAAGAACAGAGGCCTGTCTATTGGAAATATGCCCTAGAGGCAATATAAAATGATTATTATATTTCCTTGTTCATGATAATTGTCTATTGTTCATGCTTTAATTGTATTATCCGGAAATCGTAATACATGTGTGAATACATAGACCACAATGTGTCCCTAGTGAGCCTCTAGTTGAGTAGCTCGTTGATCAACAGATAGTCATGGTTTCCTGGCTATGGACATGGGGATGTCATTGATAACGGGATCACATCATTAGGAGAATGATGTGATGGACAAGACCCAATCCTAAACATAGCACAAGATCGTATAGTTCGTTTGCTAGAGTTTTTACAATGTCAAGTATGTTTTCCTTAGACCATGAGATCGTGTAACTCCCGGATACCGTAGGAGTGCTCTGGGTATACCAAACGTCACAACGTAACTGGGTGACTATAAAGGTATACTACGGGTATCTCCAAAAGTGTCTGTTGGGTTGACACGGATCAAGACTGAGATTTGTCACTCCGTATGACGGAGAGGTATCTCTGGGCCCACTCGGTAATGCATCATCATAATGAGCTCAAAGTGACCAAGTGTCTGGTCACGGGATCATGCATTACGGTACGAGTAAAGTGACTTGCTGGTAACGAGATTGAACGAGGTATTGGGATACCGACGATCGAATCTCGGGCAAGTAACGTACCGATTGACAAAGGGAATTGTATACGGGGTTGCTTGA